AGCTATTCCAGAAATTATGGAGAAAGAAGTAGAAGTCCAAAGGCACTCTGGAAAAGCTGAGAAGGAATCTCAGATGGCAGAAGAGGAGGTCTCTCAAACTCCAATAGCCATTTTTGAAGAACCAAATGAAGCTGAAGATAGTGACTCACTCTCAAGATACATATCAAATTTTGCACTTGATGAAGCAGAAGGAGAATCTGAGAGGACACTAAAGATCACTGATGAAGAAGATGTGCAAGAAGATGCTGAATCTCTTCCTTTGCAACTCTTTCAAAGGACATCATCTCCTCATCAGGTAACTAATTTTCACTTCCATAGCTCTTCCATTCCTACTCTTCCGGATGAGATACCGGAAACCTGGACAAAGAAGGTCCAAGGGCTGATTGAGTCAGCCCTAGCATCTCAACATGCCTCCTTTAGGCAAGAGATAGAGCTAATGGAAGCCAAACACACTGAGCTGATAGAGAAATCTGAAGAGAAACACAACGCTGATCTCAAGGAGATAAGTAAATCAGTAGAAAAGGCTCTAGAGATCATCTCTCTATTGAGTAAAACTGTGAGCAATACAATGGAAATTTACACCTCTGACAGTCAACTGCAATTCAATGAATTCAACAAAGTCAAGGAGCAAATAGCAAATGTCACAATTGGTCTGCAAAAACAGATGTCCCTTCTCCAATTGGACATCAGATCAGCCCTAGCTATAGCTTCAGCAATCAGGTAGTAACCAAAGACTACTTGAAGGTGATCATTGACAATCAAAAGGAAGCATACAAGCTGTTCAGACTTATTGGTGCACATTCTGGGAACCGCAAGATGGAAGTAATTCTCCAACAACACAGTCCATTTCCAATACCACAGCTCCCTATTGCAGTCAACGAAGGAGAAGCATCTTATGTCCCTTCTCATCTGCACATGACTAATCTGATCCTTGAAGCACATCAAAGAAATCCGGAAAACTCAGCACAGCACCTATCCAGCTCAGGACTGGATGGAACAGAATTTATAGGTGCAGTTGCTGACCACTTCTCAGATGCTGCTCAAACAGAGGAAAGGCGTGAAAACTTAAGGCGCATCAAAGAACTATGTGGGAACATGCAGGGCATCAGTGAAGTTGCCGGATCTTCAAAACGCAAAAGGAACTGAAGGTTCTTTTCATCAAACCAGGGGGAAAGTATGTGAAAACATTTGTTTTGATGAAAACACCCTCTCGTTTAAACATTGCTTGATTGGTTTAAACATTGCTTAAGTATGCCTTAATTGCGCTTATTATGCTTGATTATGCTTATCTCAAGTATGATTTTGTCTTAATTATTTTTCTGAAGCGCATACAATCAGGGGGAATGTAATTCAGGGGGAACTTACCTAGTTTTGGCTAACAATTATTTTTGGCAATGAATTATTGATAAGCTCAAAGCAATGGAAGACGGATATCTCAGTTTTGGTACTAAAATTGGAAATCTCCGATTCAGGTACCTTACAAAATGTGCCTTCTTAAACTAAGCTTTAGTCCTTAATTCATTTCCAACCAGCTCTAAAAGTACTGGTCCCTAGGATGTTTAAAAATGTACAGGACTTTGGAAAAATAGTACCTCTTTTCTTTTAAATATTCATATTTGTTTTGGTACTACCTCGTCCTAAGTAGAAATTAGAACTATAGGGAATGAAAAATGATAGTCTTATTTT